CACAGGCACTAGTTTCGGAATTCGACGAAATTGGTTATGAAAATCAAGGGACCGGAAAAGGAAAGAAGGTCATAAGAGCAATATACATTTCTCACACCGAAACGGACACTGTTTGATGTACGAAAGGTACTTCAGTAAAATGGAAAATGATTGCGAAAATTCGAATAGAAAATTGAGTCAGGTATAGGATACCTTATGAAGAATTTCAAGGAAAAATGAATTGGAATAATTTTCACAAAAATAGTGATATTGAAAATGCTGGAAATGTTATAATTACTGGAAAAATGTTTGAATACGAATCGAAATGGATATTTTATTGAGATTTTTGACGAAAATTGCAATTGTGAGAAAGTTGAGAATGTTATGTATTAGTTATTATTTGTTTAGGAAGGATTTGGTGATGGATTTCAGATATGTATATGAGGATGAAATAGGAATATAAGTTTATTTATCAGAGGTTGACTTGACATTAGGACTGAAAGTTACAACAGAATTTGAGACGAAGGTGCGATAATAGACATTCTTTTATTGACCAAAATGTGACCAAAATGTAACCACAATCATAAGACATTAGGAGTGAAGCACGAGTGATGTTGCTGTTGACTGTCATAGCCATTTGACAGTCCATTACCTGCGGGTTCGCCCACCCACGAGACGTCCTCTAGAAGCCAGAGCTATACCCAAGGTATCGCCCGATGCTATTACCTGTGCTACCACCTGTCAATATAGGTATATGGTGCTGTTTCATTGGGAACGTATATGGTTTTCCAATGCTCATGGATAGGAATGCGAGTGCAACCATTGCATTCCTGAGGCCATGCCTCCTCCGCCGCTCCGAAGCCCACTCAACAGGTGTTATTGGCACCTTACCAAGGTGGCACGCACGCTACTGACGATGCTACCCCAGGACACAGTGCTCGCAGCGAGAGCAAATCAATGAGATTAGAACAAGCGTTTTCTCGAACGCCTACCTGGAGAGGTCTCTTCCTTGCTTGGAGTTTGGAGTCAGACGAAGGACCAAATCAGCCCAGAGACCTAGTTAGAGCTGCTGCGTTGGACGCAGATGGAATTTACAACGGACGACAGTTCTGGTTATTGTTGAAGATCAGCCAACAGATTATATTCTAAAATTGTTTTTTTTTAGTGTTAAGAATATTCTTTTTGGTAACTATGTAATATGAGCAGGTTACTTAGAGTTTTGAGATTGTTTCGTTGAGAGTTTATAATTAGAGTTACCATGTGAGGACTGAAATCGAAATATATGATATATTTCGATTTCAAATAGGGGATGGACGGATGTTATGCCCCGCTGAATACTATCTAAGGAAAATATTGAAATATTAAAAATGGAATTCATACCCGCGTTAAGTAAACATCTTTTGTCGGCAAATTTCAGATATTCAATATTTATTTTAATGACTCTAGATCAACCTTGAAATTGGTATCTCCAAGAATGCGCTAATTATTGAGACCGACAAACGAATATGATTTGATTTATTGTTATTGCCATATGAATCTATGAAATCCCTTCCATGAGTAAACTAAAACCAAATAACAAGGATGACGTAACTTGCTTTGTTGATTTTGACTATAAAAACACTTCATTGTAAAAAATGGGAAGGCAATTGATCATTAACTCTCGAGGCGTCAACTAGTAAAGATGTAGCTCCAATAGAATCAGAATAGATCGCGAAGTGTATAGAAGTACCTATCTATAGTGGTTATTAGAATCAGTGCAAGTGAGAAAGAGATCATGGCAATTCTTTCAACTCCCAAGCAAGTTGGTATGTCTTTGTGGTTACATTTAACAGACTATAGGACTGAAAGTGTTTTTGACATTCAACATAACTTTCTAACGATAATATAATGGACAGTTTGAAGAAACTATAGTCAGTCAACCTATTAGTGTCAAGGGTTAGGATGTTGTTTAATAAATTAGACGTATAAGGGTTTTGCAAACTAACTTGATAAGAGGTTTTGAAATAAGGGATGATTAGAGAAGTTTTAGCTATTAGTATATGGGCTTAGAGTAGAAGTAGGGTTATGTTTCAATATATGAAGTTTTACTAGGAATATTGGAGAAGTTCATAAAGGGAAGTTTATTTGTTGTTTTGGAGAATATTAACGTTGAGTTGAGAGTTTTCATTGTAGGAAAATCTATGGTGAATTTATACTGGTTCACGATTATTGATTGTATATTGAATATTCTTGATTTTATGAATTTATAGAGTGATTATTTGAGTTTTTAGATATTTTCTTAACTTTGAGATATAAGTGAATAGTCAGCAGAAGTTTGAGTTTTCTGCATATTTGAATTTGTTAGGATTCTGATCGTGAATGTAGTTTATTTCTTTGATTATAGTTTATTACCTATCTCTTTGTTTTTCTCCTGCATTCTGCCACCATCATAGTCCGAACCCACACAATTTAATATCTGCTGTAGATTCTACACCCTGTATAAACATACCAGCCGCTCGGTATATAATCTGACAACATCTCCCTTATACAGGGGTGGATCAACACACCAGTACATGATAGATCGGAAGATTGCTGGCCATGGTCGAACTGCACTGGTCAAACGTCGGCCCATTGTATGGCATATAGGGGAAAATGAAGCGCGTTTCTATTACCCTACCTGATGAATCGATAATTAAACGAGCCTGCATGAGCTGGCTTGTCTTGGCCTTTGTACTAAACTTTCCGACATCAATGTATATATATATATATATATATAAACTATAAAATCATGCATAATATCTGTCTGGTCCATTAACATTCTCAAAATGGAATTGATATAATTTTTTTTCATATTTAAATATAAATAGCATCTTGATGTTGACAATTGTTGTGCGTACACTCTATCGTAGGGGATTTTTGAGGAGCTATTAAGGACCCCAAAATATAGGTACTCGAAAACGCACTAAAATCTTTTGTATGAATTATTCTGTATCAAAATCCTGATTTAAGTTGACTATACTCATTTGTTAAATGTTTATGTAATGTTAATGTTCTTACTACCGTTTGTACCATAATGATGTCGATTAAATTTTTGACCTTTTTGTAAATACTTGACGAGTATATAGCACTGATGATGGCTTAGGGATTCGATAAAATATTTACACGACAGTGGCGTATGCATACGATAGGAGCCCAAAAGCATTTCCTACCCCAGAAAAAAACAAATCATCGATACACAGTTTTTTTATAAAAATACATCTACTATAGTAGATGTATTTTAGGTAGGTAGGTAGCCAGACTGACGAATATGACGTCTATAGGACCGATATCTAAGGTCTTTTTTGGTCTCATACGTCTTTTGACCAAATTGCGACGTCATGCGGACGTCATTAATTTGACGTCTTATGGACGGCCACTGTTTGACGTCGTATAGACGTCAATCTATGGTCTTCATATTTTTTTGGGTATTATTATCATTATCATTATTATTATTACTATTATTATTATTATTATTATCATTATTATTATTATTGTTATTATTATTATGTATGTATAGGAAAACGAAGTTATGAAATAAATCAATTAATCTATCCAAATAACTGTATAAATGTATAATAAAAATGGATTTTATTCCATAGGCTTCCCTTGATTTTCAATGTTTAAATTTAGCGCCAAAGACAATTCTCACATTACCGACCAGATGGCCAATGGCGATCAAGTAATTACGCGAAGAGATTGTGTATGCGACTCGCGACCATCTCGCGACTGCCGTTAGTGGCGTTACTGCCGTTTAGCTGCGTTCCCGTTCATGTTCATTGTCCATCGTCCATGTCCGAATGGGTGTTGTTTGTGAACGGCGTCTGTGCCATTGGATTTGTTAAGAATGTTAAAATGTTGAATGTTTGAGTGAAAGTATTCAGGATGTATTGTGTGATAAAATTTGATGACAGTGGAAGCAACAGTGTAGCTGTTGCTCACGAAACTTGGCTGACGCCGTTGAAAAAGGAAGTGTTTTGGCCGCAATTCATAGACAGCAAAACATACAAAAGAGCTCTCTGGTGGAGGGGCAGCCATCGACGCTGAAATTTTCAACTATATGTAATACCTCACATTACTTATTTTGTCAATAAAATCTTCATTCGTAGCAAATTTATTTTATAGCACAAATGATTACCTTCCTCACCAGAATATAACCATTAACCCCAAAATTTTTTATAAAAAAAACAGACGTCTTATTGACGTCGGAAATTGGTCAGTAGTGTCAGTTTAAGGTCCAATTTGAAAACACATACTGACGTCTAACAGACTTTCAAATATGACGTCATTTGGATGTGTCTTACTTACGTCATTTGGACGTCGCATTTGTTAAAATAAAGACGTCTTTTGGCCGAATGTGATGCCGTCAATTAGACGTCATATAGTCGTCATGTGCTACCTGGGATATATGTCCGAGACCACCCGATGCGCAGCCGCCATTTTGGCGCTGTACTCTGTGTGAGCAAATAAGCATCCATTCAAAATGAAAGCAAATCGAAGTTGCGCTGATCAATAGGAATTGGAGCGAAAAAGCATTGCTTTCGATCTGTCAGCCATCGACACTCGAGCCGAGACGCCGGCAGAGCGGAGCCGATTTCTGCCGACCAGGGACCCGAGCGATTACGAACAATAATAAGAGGGGATACGGAAGACGGTCAAGGACTCAGTGTTGCCAGGTGTGGCGATTTATCGCATTTACGTCAACTTATTTTGATGGAATGCTACATTAAATTCAATTTGGCGACATTCTGAAATTTACAAATTTATGAGCGACATGTGATAATGAGAACATCATTGGTAACATTCGCAATCAAGTTTTGTGAATAGGCAACATGTCATGATTCACTATACGGAAACGGAACGGCCCAATGTTCGATCATCTCCATCTTTGTTTTCTGCATTTTACATTTTTAAATTTTTGCCTACACTACACGAGTAGCATTGCACGCCACTGTAATACACGAAATACAAAATTTCTTCATCTGATTGATCAGTTACGATTTCAGAATACTGATTATGGGAACACAAGAGCGACTAGGAGTGAATATTTTGGTAGATCAACTGATGGACAGCATTGCTCATAACTGTCCAAATCTGGAGCGAATAGAGCTCCGGTGGGATCCAGAAAACTTGAGATTCTCAGACAAGAGTCAGAAAGCTATCGACACCATCAGAGTGAAATGTTTGAAATTAAGGTGTTTATGTTTGAGGTGAGATCTAGAACATTGTTCCAACGTTTTATTTTCTAGCTTATTCCAGATTTTTTGGGATTTTATCTCTCCTCGTTTCTGCAAAATAAAAATATTTGTATTATTTCGATATACGTGTAGTGATGACAAACCAGATGGTGTTTGCCCCAAAATGTCACTGCGATTATAGTTATTCATTATACAAGGGAAAAAAGTAGTAGATTTTAGCTCCAGGTTGTGTTGTCTCCGGAGGCAGACAAGGGCGTACCCAGGATCTGAACTAGGGGGGGGCAGCTTAGGCAAGGGAACTAGAAACTACCGAGAATCAGTATCAATCACTAGACATGCCATGCTTCAACTGAGACGTTTTTTTTATCTTAATAAACATAAGTATTTCAATCAACTGTCCTTTATTATATTTTCATCTTAATAATAATCTTCTCGGGTTCGCTGCAAATTTTTCCATTAATTTTGTTTCCACCATTTCAGTCAGCCTTGTCTCTCCCATAGTGCTCCTAAGCCAGGTCTTCACTCTCCGAAGCGTACCGCTAACGAGCAGAAAGCCCGCCGGAGGCGAAATTTTTGGAAATTTAGCGACTTTTTTTCGTGATTTAGCGACATTTTTGATAATATCTCATCATTTTCAGTTAGTTTATATCATCAGATAAAAAATCGTAGAAAACTTTATTTATTCAGATTCTGTTTAGAATGAAAAAATAACAAAACAAAATGAATATAGGTAAATTTTCCTATACAATTTCATTCGGTACTATTATGTAGGCACATTGGTAAATCACAACATAAATTTTTTTTCGATCGTATTTAGGTTTGTCCTTGATCTTGTCACACGTTCATAAACCTGTCAAACCATAACCATGTATCAAATCATATTTCTAGTTCAACATCATACAGATTTGCGACTTCATCGCAAATAAAATATTCGTTCACGAGCATCACAAGTTTTTAAACCATATCGAATATACAAAATGTCATTGAAAAGTGGCGGAAGTGGCACAAATGATGAAAACTGACTCTGTCGTCTGTCATTCTCTTCTCTGCTTATCTCTTTGTCTCAAATGTTTCAATGTGCATTGTTCATATATGTCGTCAACAATTCATGTGATCAAAATATCTCCATATAAACCGCTATGACTATGTTGAAAACGCTAGAAATCAGGTTGAAATGTCGCATTGAACCCTGGTAACAAATGCACCTGCAAATCGAGACTGCGCCATATACACCAGATACCGCGATTTATCGCAATTTAGGTTACTTTTTTTGTTGGTTCTTGCGATCAAATTATGTTCTTTGCAATAAGCGACTTATTTAAGCTATTTATGAACTTGTAATCAGAACTGATATAAAAACACAATACTTCAACAAAAAGATTTAAAATCTTTCTTTATGAAACATCATTATTTTGCTCAATCATGATTAAGATACAAAATTTTCAGTATTCGGGAAAAAGTCAAGTGGCAGGATGACTTCTAGGGGGGGCAGCTGCCCCCCCCTGCCCCTCGCTGGGTACGCCCTTGGAGGCAGACAAAAAACCGTGAGCTAAAATCTAATATTTTTCCCGTGTATAATACACTATATTTTTCTGTGATAGAAGAAAGGAAGAGAAGATATTACATTATTTCGAAATCTGAAATTATCGACGTGAAATTTTAAGTTTTTAACAGTTGGGACACCTGCATTGTTGGAGTAATCAAATATCTGATGTCACTTCTGTCAGTCTCATTCTTTGATTTGATTTCAAAAAATTGTGAATTTAGTGGTTGTTTAGTAATATACGTAACCGGCGCGAAGTCGAATGGTAGATAAGAGGACTTGCAGTTCTTTCTCGGAGACGGTATAACTGACTCATTTTTCGGAACTATAGCACAACAAAAGCTATTAACAGAGTATATATATGTGATATATATCCGGGAAAAAAGTACTCACTTTTTCCCACGGGAAAAAAGTAATTTATGAAAAGTGACATTTTATAACCTGCCAACAGAGATGAAATGCCAAACTTTTTTCCCGTCACAGAAAAAAAATATTCTATCGGAGAGTCTGAGAGAAAAATTCATTCGCTTGTCAATGACACACTTGCCTTGAAAAACGGTTTGGAGAAGAGAAATATGGGTATATAGGAAAAATATCAAATTATCACTCGACTCTGGACATTCCGGGAACCAATCTGCTCCCGTATGATTTTTTTCATTAGATTCTCTGATAGAAACATTTTTTAAACGCAATGAAATTTTGGGGCGAAACATCTGCTTTGTCCTACTACACGTATATTGAAATAATACTCATATTTTTATTATGTAGAATCCAGGGGAAAATCAAAAGAATCTGGAATAATGAATATACCACCTCCTGGATTGACCTACAGACTCTCTTTTGACAAGACATAATTTGGAGGGTATGAGATTTGAATATGCGGAACAAATTGCCAAGGGAGGTGTTTCCCGAAGCATATAACCTCCAGAAATTCAAGATGAACACCAATTCCTACCTTATTTCCCTCGGTTCTTACGATGTTCTCTGAACATTCCAGGATATCCCTTTTCGTGGGAACCAGAACATTAATGAGAAAAAAAATCAACTATAATACATCCGGTTTCAACGGAAATAACCCCAACTCAGGAATTTCATATGGGAAACGCTGTAAATTTTCACATATTTCGATTCTGTTCAGTGAGCAATTTTAAGACATTGTCTTAAAATTGCTGACTGAACAATAAATGAAATGGGGAGTAAAAATTATATTCCTTGAGTACTTACCAACCACTGGGGTGATTTAAAAAAACCCATGGTTGATGGGTCTTCGACATCTTATAACCCAGATACAGGATGTTTCATCAATTTTGTCCATATCTTCATTGTCTTATAACGTTCCAACCAACCTGTATATATTTTTAAAAATTGGTACACTGGCTCAATCTATCCTGTGGAATTGATTGAGGCAACAACAAAAGATAAAATCCAGGTCCGGTTCACTTAAAATTCACAAATTCTTTCTGCCAGAAAACAACACCCTATACATTCGAATTTCTCATCTTTTTTGCCATATCTGTAAAGAACATCAAAATTTCTATTCAACGATGTGCTTTTTTAGCACCCACAATTTTGTTTTTCGGTTATTTTCTACAATTAACCAGAACTATTGAATTTTTTTGTCAGGAACTCCAGAACTCTATCGTATATACCCAGAACTCCGATAAAAATTCAGTTTTTCAAAGAAGTCGGTGCCAACTTCACATAAGTCCTATGAAAATTTTCCGTTTTTCCAGATCCAAATGACCAAGTTTCACTTGGCAAGGGTTAGACATTTTGTGCGTTTTGTTGGCAACAGTTACTGTCGAATTGAGTGTCATCTATCGGTTGCATTCTCTTTTGTCATTGTCAAATATGATTATTTTGGAAAACGAATGGTCTCATATTCTAGAATTAATAATTCACCAATTTCTCATAAAATGGAAGTACCAATAATTTTGGAAGCCGCGTAATTTTTCATCACATTCGGAATTCGACATCCTTGTACATCCAATCACAGAATACCTAACCCTTGAAAATAATATGGCCTGTACACCTACTAACTATTAGAGTCACTGGATGGTATTAGTGGAGAGTTCGGAAACAGCTGAACTTCTGTCCTTTTCTATATTACAATGGCTTGAGTTGAGTGGTACATTTTTCGCAGAACAACAGTTATACACATATGAAAAGAATGCATGTATCAACATTTTAATATGACAAAATAGACACATATGGATATACTTATAGATAGTTTCTTAATGTATGTAAAACTGTAGCCGATGAGTGAAAGAGTTTGTAACATGAAGATTGTTTTGATACTCCTCCTTTTGCTGATACTTTTAACTGATACATTTTGAATTTGGTCGGTATTGAAAACGCGATTCGATGATATATCACGTTGCAATTTACTTGATTTCCTCAGTTTAGTTCTCAAATTTTCAATTTCATTACCTACGTAGTTTTACAATCAATTCCTCTTTCACAATGATAGTTTTGTTTTGCATTCCGTGTGATGACAATATAGGTTTTTTTTAATACTCTGTTTTGAAAATTAATGGAACAGAGTATACATTCTCTCAAACGGATCTTGAAATTTTCTGTTTGGAAATGGGCCTAAAGTATAATTTCATTCTAATCTGCTTATTGTCTTCAAATCAATTTTAGATCCAGGCCGTTTCATACATAATTCCTTCTATTATAAGGGAACAATGGTTGATATTTCCTTTGGAAAATTAAAGAGATTGAATCCATTTTCTTCAGAATTCCCACAATTGATTACATAGCAGGACATAAACATTTATGCTTTTTTCTCAATAGTTTATGAAATTATATTTCAATTATGATGTTCATATTTATTGTCAAATTTAAACAATTTTGAAAGAGAAAGCGCGGAACGACTATGGTGCTCTTGTCACATTGCAAGGTGTGTTATTTGAAAAATCGAAATATTCAAACACACTAAAAAACAGTTGTCATTTCTGTGTCCGAACTCTTTAGTAACTAATGCCATCCAGTGACTCTACTAACTATGAATTTGATTCATTCGAAACCTTGGAAACTAGAGAGAGCCTTGATGATAATGTTTTGTGTTGATTTTTAGCGATGGACGGTACTACGAGGTAGTGAAGGCCAATTTCGAGAGAGCTGATAGGATGACTGTAGTCAGGACATTAACAAATTGTAGAATTTCGAATTATTATTTATTGTCGAACTATAAAGACCTGATTTTCAATTAAAAAAATACAGTGGATGAACTAAAAAATTATTTATTTTAGTTCTCTATCATAAATATTTGTTTTAGCACACTTCGGAATTTTATTATAAATATGTGGAATCAATTAATAAATTATTTCAGATAAGTTGGTACTTTATACATATAGATATATATGACAAATTGAATGGAGGAAAGTGATAGAATTTACAATTATCTGTACAACTAACTTTTCATATATGTACAAAACGATCTAACTTTCATTCAAACTTATATACAGAAGCTCAATGTTGCTGTCAATCTAGCCTTGAATGAAAAATCACAAAATGCATCTTCTTAGTGAACAAGAATAGAAAATAAGAATTTTCTAAAAATGATTTTCACAAATTTAGAAGATTCTAGTTAAATGCAGTGCCTACAAATTGCCTAGATAGATTATTACAGTGAATGTGATAATTTGGAATGAAGCAATATAAAATCCAATTCTTATATAATGGGGTTTTCTTTAGGTGAGTACCTATAATACCGCATCGAACGTATTATTAAATATGGTTACTATATCTATTTGTTTTTTGTTTGTCAACTCGACAATCTGAAAGTATGAGATAAATCAGAATGTTGGTCTGAAAGTATATCTATATATGACATTATTTTTGTGACATATATTATTAGCTAACCTACTGAAACCGTGCCACCTCTGTAATGATTGAATGATTGATGGAACAATTTTGCAATTTTTCAAACGCCACTTTATCTAGTATTTTGGATACTTCGGGACTCTCACTCCTTGTTTCTAAGGAAATATGGAATATTTCAACGAAGTGACATCTTGGGACAAATAATCTGAGTTGTCCTTATTACAAATAATGAGAATTCAAAGCTCAAGAATTTTCCTACCCGAAAGGATGGAAACATCATCATATTATTCATAAATACAAGAGAATTCCAAAAAAATCTAGTAATTTTATTAATTGAAGATTTCCGGTTTCGCCGGAAGTGAACTCAACTTTCAAATGAAACTACCTGTATTCTTAACAAGTTTCACAAATAATAAAATATAAGATCTTTGGCTGCAATGCCCTGTAAGTACTCACTTAATTTTCTCGAAATATAGAATTGAACCACACACTATTATAATTCTACTTTAGTATGATCACAGCCGTTGTTATCGAAATATTTTTTCTCGGGATTTATTATGCATGCCCGATAACCTAAAAATCAATTTTGACACATGTCACGTGATCATTGGTATGGCGGTGAAAAAAACAAAGACTACAAAAAGGCAAAAAGTGGGGCAAAATATAATAAAAATTATCAACAAGAGTTGTTTTAGGATTCGATTCTATATTCACATAGAGTTTCTGTATCTAAGTATGGAAATTAAATCTAAGCAACTTTTCCAAGATCTCCCTCTTCAGTCATTTTTTCAATTCACCGCAATACCAGTGATCATGTGACATGTGTCAGCATCGATTTTCAAAAAAAAAAAAAAAATAGAACTTGATATTCTAATAATAAAAGTTTTTCCCCTATGTCACGATCTTTATGAATGGCACTGTGTTGTATTGAATTTTATAAATATTGCTGTTTGTTTTTCTTCCAGTCATTCCTGAAATCATTACTCAATACTGAAGTCCGTTAATATACAGGAAGTCTCCTTATATTTAGGCTCTCCTTAAATAAACAAATGCGAATCACAAAATGAAGGAATGAGTCCAAATCAGTTTTTTTTAATGTAACACCCTGTATATTTTTAATTTTGTGAAATATTTTTTCTTTTGTTCACAGATATATTAAGTTTGCTAATGTTTTATGCATGTTTAGTTTCCATGGCATTTCTGTTGTGTCCACATTCCACAGCCATCTAAATGTTATATTACCAACTCTGATTCAATGCTAAATTAGTGAAAAATGGCTTGATGAAACATTAGCAAACCATATATATTTGTGAACAGAAGGAAAAGATCTTTCACTAGAGTTGAAAATATTTGAAAAAACTGATTTGGACTATTTTTCATCATTTTGCAATTCACATCTGTTCATTATTTAAGGCGTGCTAGAAGTACATCTTTCATATTTGAAGTTTTTTTCCACCACATATAGTGATATACGGAGACTCTACATATATTTTTTCAAGTTATCCAAATATTTTTATATTCATTAATCATTACAAATCACGGCTTGAGTGGATTCCAACATTTGAATTCATTTATTTTAGAATAACTAAATAATCATGACTTATCACATATTTTCAGATGGTTGAGCAATAAACTAAATAAGGTTCCACTACAAGAACTTCCAAGAGAAAAAGTATCTGTTTTTTTTTAAATCTGAAAAATTATTGGCATTAAGGTAGGTACAGCACCGTTTTGGCATGTGAGCGAGTATTTTCTTATTGTAGCTGAACAAACATTATCAGAAATCAGGATCAAGATGATTGATGATAATACATATTTCTAGTTATATTTAGTTGATGAAGTTGCATTAGTTAGATCACAAGTTATAATTAAATTGGTGCATATTGATTTTTTTCAACAGATTCACCTTTCTTTGTCTTCCTCTATTTCCGTATATAAGAAGTGACAAATGATACATAGTTGTATATCTCATTGATATATGTATTTTCATATATAATTATATTTTGAATGAACTCATATCAGTGATATTCAGAATGTAATTAGGAGTTGAAGAAGATGAAGAAAACTTGAACCGAGCGGTTCAGCTGTCACACTTTTTGATACCTATATTCAACTATGAAACTTTTTCTTAAAACCTCCTGATGATGTACAAAGGACAACATTGTTTTTTATTACCACTGTTTCTCATTTTAAAGAACTTCACAAACGATAAGATTCCCACAAAATTCCTAAACATACAACACGTTTTGCTAAGCTAGCCAAACCTTCATTTCTGAAACTATACATATTAAAACAGATCAACATGAAAGAAGTGATGTAATTTGTTTACTGAGAAAACAAATTCAACAGAGACGATTTGTTTATGTCTAGTTGATAGTTAAGTAAAATTATAGAATTTTTGTGTTTGATTTCTAATGATTGATTTCAAATGATGAAGTTCTATTGCTTTATCCTCATCAAAAGTATGATTTCCTTTGTTTTATTTTAAAATTTGTCAGTATTAGATACATGGTATAGTTTTTGATACCTAGATTGTTTGAGGTCGAAAATGTCGAAAAGGATGACAGCTAAACTAAAAGAATAATTCCCAAATAAAAACTCATTTCCATTTTTACACCATGTAGTAGTTTTTTACTCACCTCCTATAATGCTCATTCGAACTCTGTGCTATTACTTTGAAATTCAAATGTTGGATGCTAACTAGCATGTGACATAACTAAATTTCCAAATGCCCACTAAAAATATTGTATTTTCAAAAATGACTATCTTTTTCCCTTTCCCTGATCACTCAGCCAACAAATAAACTATTTCAGATTCAGAATCGTCATGACTACTCATTTTCAAAATTCTAGAGAATTAAAAACAAAGTTATCCTAAATAAATATGCTTGACCAGTCATAATGCATATTATGTCTCTATTTCAAAAGATATATAAAAACGTTCATACATACATATATACATAGTTTTAGCAAATCATTTAAGATGTTTAAATTGATATTATTGAAAATAAAATATTTCAAATATGCCATGAAAGACACAATGTAATTAAGAGCTACTGTTCAAATGTTATCTTTGTCAAAGTTGGTAATAAAAACATATAACCAGGACAGCTTCATGAGATACTCAGGATATGTTTCAGAAGTATCAGCCTGAATCTTATTTGCATGAAAAAAATATTATAAATGATAAGATTCCTATGTATATCTTAAAAGCAAATGCTTTGCATGACTTTTTGATATGAACAAGCTTCTGTGTAAGAGTATTAGAGAAACATGTACTGTTTTTATTAATTTAATGGAAATCCAATCAGTGGTTGAATAAATTTTATGATAACCAAAATCTACTTCAGACAGTTACTATGTATAAAAAATTTAATACATTCCACGCCTAGATACACATAATTTCGATTCTTACTAACCGAGATTGAAATAACAGATAAAGATTAGCTCTCAATGACAGTGCAGATTTAGCTTTCCACGATCAACTAGTAATATCTCATTATCAAAAATATCATCTCAGCTCTCTTATCAAACACATATTTCACCAGCTAGTCTTGATAATAGAGACATAAATAAAATACATATTTCAAAGTCAATAACAGCCTAAACGTGTACGACCTCAGTCCAAAACACTCTCAAACCTCATTGCGAAAGTTCCCCTAAACCACACCCCACAAACCTATCACCTGTCATAATTGTTCTCTTCCTCATTGTTCGCCAACTCTGACGTCTCTCTCCTCTCCTCCGTATCCATGGCATGCATGATTTCGTGGCAAAGAGGACACCTGTCCTGCACGTACAGCCACTTCCTCAAGCAGACCCCATGAAAGAAATGCCTGCATTTGGTGATCTTCGCCGACAGCATTTCCTGATAGCAGATGGCACAAACATCGTCCAGCATCCTAAGCTGGTCCTTGTCAGCTTCCGGGAGGCTCTCTATCTTGTTCACAGCAGTCCTGCGCTTCATAAACACCGACCAACCGGCTTTGGCGTCGCACCAAATGTTGAAATATGCATGAATGCACATCATGACTGCCCTTATGGCACTACCGCTCTCGAACATCAAGATCCACGCTCCGTTGAAGAAGAGGAAGATCCCGAAACAAAACTCCACCGTGTTGCCGAAGGCTCTTATATAGTAAATATAGTCGTCCAGTTTCTCCCAGAAGGTTTCCCTGCGAGCATCCAGAAGGAACAAAGAGTAGATAGCTAGGGAAACAAAAACCTTGACTATCACCTCTATGCTGAAAGCAGTCACCGCTAGCAACCAAGTGGACATTTCCTGAGTCTTCCACAAGAAGTACATGAGCAGCAGAGGCAGGACAACCAAAACACCGCATACTAAAAGGGCGTGCAGGTGCCTCCTAAGCGAAGGATTGTGCGAGGCGCTCAAGCTCATCAACAGAGGATTCACGACGTTGTGGGTGAAATGGAGCAGAGCGGTGAACAGGAGGCAAAAGTTCCTGCACAACCGCACGAACCTAATGTCAGGCTCTAGACTAGTCAACCCCGTTTGCAAGGCGAGAATGTAAAACACGATGGCCGACACGGTGCCGAAGTTCTTGTCATTTTCGTCGTCAGTCAAAAGGATCCACTGGAAGAATTTTCCGATGTAGTTGCAGATAAAAGAGACGATGCTGGTGATGCCGAGCACCGCGGTTAAGGTGTCGCAGCCAGTCACCATCAAGTACTTCAGAAGCCTGAAGTACGGCGAGTTGCCGTCTTCGAGATCCCAATAGCCGGAGAAGAAGAATATTCCGGCGTGCTCGAGTACTCGGAGCATCCAGAATGTCCGGAGTACTTCGGGGACGTTTAGCCTCAGCCATTCGGATTCGACGAGCGCCGACATGCCGAAGTTGGAGACGAAGTTTTTGGCTTGAAGGTAGCCTGAGTAGACGGACTGTAGGATTTGCACGGCTGAGGTGCACAGCACAAACTTCACCAAGGCCAGGGGGATCAGAGCTGCTACTATGGGGGTGTGGTGTAAGAGATATGATGGGGTAGGTAGTGCTGCCAGTATTGTAGGTGCCAAGAAAGAGACGGGCAACATTTTTTGCATTAAAAAATGCCTCGGGCCCATATGGATGTTTGTAAACACTACAGACAACAAGAACTGCAATAGGAAGTTCTGTATGATGTTGATGAAGAATTCTTTGTGCTGTATCAATCCATCCCAATACAATGTCAGTAGATGTAGAATGTTGATGGTTCCATTTTCGTATCCTTCAATTTTTAGTATAGTATTTACTGTGTTTACATTGGTCCAATAGGAGAAGAATATCAATCCAACTGACATGAGGTAAATGTAGACAACGACTAGATGTTTGGTGCTCAATATGAACATACCAATTGCAACAGCACAACCTAAAATAAAAAAAAGAATGATAAACTGTTTGATGACACTAAATTCGAAGTGTCGATTGAAATATCTACCTGGGAATGTATGTGCGTGACAAATATGTTTTTAGTTTATTTGAAATTTCATTTCCAGGCTAATCTCGAGGCTAATTGCATTGTAAGTTCTAATTTACTTCGAATTCGGTAAGGTCAAAACTATCATTTGGTCATGGTCTAGAACATGATTATTAACATTTCTATATTATTTGTTTATAACATTCTACCTCTTGTAATGGCACTCCACTTTACTCTTTTGTTTTTATCTGGGTTTTTATAGTTATCTAGCTGCCATACTTTTTGGACATATGTGAGTTTGAAAATGCTTTGAATATGCATTAGTTTGAAGCTTGCTACCGATAAAAAATTGCAGTAGGCTGTGGATCTCTCTATAGGGATTTTCTAGTGTCAACTGGTCATCAGAGTAATATTAAACAGAATCAATTTTGTAATCTAATCAAATATTGATGATTTACGACCTGGTCAAGTTGGAATAAACCAAATTTTCACTGGAGGAGCCTTCATGATGCTATTGTATCTTTAATACCAATCTTGTCAAAATGTTGTTAGTAGGTATATTATGCTTATGACAATATAGGAAAAAATGCCATCACTAGCCACATTTAATCACATTTATAACATTTTGAAGGTTAAATAAGTGGAAAAATATTACAGCTATAATAATCCCTTTATGTTAATTCTTCACTCAAATTCACTTCCAGTGATGACCTGAGGTTGCCATAACATCACTAATGACAACATCACGTTTTCGATTTTGGAAGGGGTCATATTTCAAAAAGTTTCTTGCCACAATTATCATAAAAAAAAAACAAGTAATCTTGCAGTGATTATATACCTTTTCAGTTGTATTTCAGGGTGGCAAGTGTTAGGATGACTATTGAAATACGAATCATTTTAGTTAATACATAGTCGAGGAAGTATTCCCAAAAACATATAATCTCCAGAAGTTCAAGAAAAAATCCAATACCTACCTCCTATCCCTATCCTCCCTAGGAACGCACGATGTTCCTTGAACATTATAGGGATTCCCTTTCGAGCGATCCAAGCGATAAAAAAAATATACCCTGTTATTCGATGGTGTTGAAGAAAAAATGTTAGATAAAACATACAATGAAGATCGACGTGTCTCGGGATGAATGAATGCATTAATTTATTCCATGATTTTGCCCCTCGCTGTACCGGGTTATCATCGTGAAAGCGCACCCCTATACAGGGTGAGTCATGAATAACCAGCCATAGCCTAATGGCAGATAAATTCACCAGCAACTTACCTTTACTGACACACCAATCGATGGCCTACTATGTAAAAAAAGTCGGACTTGGAAAACTCATTTTTCTTTTTAAATGTCAAAATTTCGAATTTCTGGATTGTATTATTCAAAAACTTTCATCGGAATCAGAAAGATCAGGAAGAAAACTACAAGTGTAGCTTTTCACTTTGTACGGCACACCTCGATCAGATTGGTGAAAAAATATCGAACACATTACTGATGAACGATTCCATGATTTTGTACTGGCTATTGTATTCACATCGTTCAACAAATTCATTTAAATCCATTTATTGCATATCGGTGTATTATAATGAGTTTAAAGAGGCTCTATTCGATGAAAAATTCCAGGAGCGGACTTACTTTTCTTGAAGAGACCTTTCAAAACATGGAAATAAGTACCTAATTCAAAAAATAAATCAATACCTACCTCCTCTCTCTATCCTCCCTAGGTACGCACGGTGTTTTTCGAACATAATAGGAATTTTCTTTCGTTCGCTCCAAGTGATAAATAAATATGAAAAATTATTGTATATGTAAAATATTTTTTCTACTCACATAACTAAAATGGCATTTAGCGTACGGATATGTACCACGTTAAATGATCGATTAATCACGGATTGTCGATCTGTGATTTATTCGAAATATTAAACACGTTACCATGGCAACACGATTTCTTAAACACATTACCATGGCAACGCCACCATTAAACACAGCTTCGGTAATTTGAGACATGTCTGGCCTGTCCATTGTGTTAACTGTCAACTGTTATTTTCAAATTTTGTATCAGAATTATTCAAACAATATTCGTTTGTATCAGAATTCTTCATTAAAAATATATGCGAAAAGTAAACGAAAGTGAAATCGAAGAGAATGTTCTAGTACTTGCATATCTCCAAGAAGTGTAAAAATGAAGCATCCATCTTTGAGAACAATTTATTTATTCTGCGCTAAGCATGACAATAAACGTGAAACAAAGGTTAGTAAGCAATGGACTGGACGACTGGACACATCTACAACCAATATCACGAGCAATATCACTTATAGTGTCTCGCTGGTTGCATACAGTTGCATGTATTATGTTCTCAATTCCCATTCCTTTCAAATTGATTTGTAGGTTAGCAGGAATTGCAGGTATGTTAATGTAATTTTCGGAGTTCGTAGAAAAATCATAGTATGTAACGCGTTTATAAACTCTTCTAGACACTAGTTACTAAAAGGACGTTTATAACACTTGTTACATAATATACTATTATAAGGATTAGATATACGTGCCAACTCATACTAATTAAAAATTGTGAGGTGATATTGAATATGATCTCATTGCATGTGAACTCCCTCAATCAGCGAATCAAAACACTACAAAAGAAGGCTGTGATGCAAGGATGTATGAAAATGGATTGATTAATATCTCTTTTCCGTCGACCTTGTATTAACGACTAAGTTAAATGTATATGAAATCGTTCATTAATGACCCCTATTAATGAACGATTTGTCTATTGATGCACGATTGTTTTATAGGCAACCAAACATACACCGCGTGCATTCATTGTTTATGCTATAACTTTTCAAGTTTCTGACACGATTTTAATCCCTGTTTTCTAACACAAGGAATTTATTTTCTATGTTGATCATTTCGACAAATGTCAAATGTCACTAATGTCAGTATCAAGGCTACTGGGTGATTCTTAGCATTTTCCAGATGAATGTTGAATTCGCGAACCAAGTTTTCTTCATTGCAGGAGAAATGAGAAATATAGTCGACGGAAAAATCTTGTAACCAACTTGTATATTAAAAGGCGTTTAATGATCTCGAACATTAATGGCCCTATACACTAGTTGGTTAAATAACTATAACAGGATGGGGCACATCCACATTACTCAAAACATGTGAGAGAATACCTAGACAAACAATTCTCTAAATCGCTGGATAGGTCGTGGCAGCCCTCCCAGCGAGTACAAATATCCCTGGGATGTTTTGGGATGTTTTGAAAATGTTGGATTGAAGATGTTATTTTGAGACGTAATATGCACTGACCAAAGTGGTCATTGAAGGATATTGAAGTATTGTTTTTGTTCTTCTGTGACATTTCTTTGTTTGCCAACTGAGAGGTATCCCTGGGATGGGTTGGGATGTTTTAGAAATGTAGGCATGAGGATGTTTTTTTGGGGCGTAATATGCACTTCCCAAAGAGGTCTTAGAAGGATATTGAAAGTATTGTTTTTGTTCTTTTGTGCCCTTTCTTTGTTCGCCCCACCACAACGTCTCATGCTTACGTCACAATGCGATGAATTCTGATTTTATTCGATTTTGTTCTTCTTGTTCGCAATTGGCATTCGCGTTTGCAGCGTGTCACGCTTACATCACGCTGCTAACGAACAGAAAGGAATTTGGTGAAGTTTATTGTGTTAGAAGACTTATTTAGTTTGTAATAATGACCATCAGATGCAAGATGTGTTGTCTGGTGCCTCAGTGTAATCAATATATAAAAGTACGAATTTATCAATACACAGCTTCTCCGCAGTTGCAAAATTATGCATTGTGGAGAACATTTCAAAAATTGGGAAACCTATTTCCAATTATATGTCTGTGTGTAGTAAGAACTACTCAGAAACCGATTAAGAAGGTGAGTTCATATCAGGAAAATATTTTTATGTTCAATTTATTTTCAATGCATTTTTTCATTCTAGGGAAATGGAATCCTAATGCAAAAGTTCATTTTGACAAAAGGCTTCAGAAAAGTACATCGAAAATGGTTTTTTTACAGCGATTTAATGTGCGCAAGACGCGTTGAAAATGTTCTGTTGTGTCCATGAAAAGGCTTTAAAAAGAACTAGGAAGAAGGTAGTTTTGTGACATATCAAGGATATCTCGATAATTGCCGCCTGCGGCGGACATTGGCTGTTCCATAATAGTTCTATTCATGTGTGAACAGAACATCGCAGTGGAGGTTCAATGTCTCGAAATCTCGTATTTTTAACATCTCTGAGATGTTTTTGTGCTCGCTGGGCTCATTCTTGGCCACCTAGGTCCCCTAATCTCACAGTATTAGACTATTATCTATGGAGACATATGTAAAGATTGGTCTATCAAACTGAAATCAACACCAGAGAGGAACTGAGAGAGAGGATTGTTACAGCTTCAGATATGATAAGAAATTTTAGGCAAATTATTCGAAAAACTGTGAGAGATCTTCCGAAGATATACAGAAAATGTATAGAAATTGAAGGAGGACATTTTGAGAATCTTCGTTGTTGAAAAATATTAGGATACAGACAAATCTTTTTCGAAAATTATGATTTGTAATTCTTTCTAAAATCCAAATACGGTCCTAAATTTTTTTATATCTTATCTCAACTCTGCTGCTATCATATAGAAACTGATTCGAATACTTTTAGTGGATGAAGTGAGTAATGGCCTCTACGAAATATTCATCTGAATTTTGTTTAATAATTTCTCACCAATCCGGTCGAAGTGTTCCGTATAAGTTGAAAAGCTACACATTTGTGTTTTTGCTGATCTTTCCGATTGTGAAAAATACGATTCAGAAAGTCGAAATTTTAACATTTGAAAAGAAAATAAGTTTTCTAAGTCCGACTCTGGAATTTTTGTTCCATAGTAGGTCATCATGAGGGGTGTCAGTAGAGGTAAATTGCTGGTGAATTTCAAGCGAAAACATC